TTCCAAGGGCATTAGAACACAGGGGACTTTAGAATTAGAACACAGGAAACTTTAGAATGTGCATAATATTTTTCAGCTTTCTTTTTTTAAAAAAACAACTATACTGGCAGAGATTTGTGAAGGCAAATCAGCTCCTCTATAAGCGGATAGCACAACTGTGAATCCAGCAATAGATTTGAGGGACTGCTTTCCATCACAGAAAAATGATCTTTGGCACTCAATCAGAGCAAATAGCAATTGAGTTGTCCCCAGATCACCATTGGTTCGATCTATCACTAAAGACTGGGTTTTTCCCTTGGAAAGGGGCAGGGCAAAGAGAAAACTACCCAGACCTGTGCCTAGAAAGTGCTGGACCATTGTCTTGCCTCGATAATGGGCTGGAGGAGAGCCCACAAAATGAAGATCAATCCAGATGTTAGTGGGTGGTTCCCTAGAATGGATGGATGGGAGGTTGCCTGCTCTTGATAGGGTTACACTCCCACTGAAGGAACAGGTACATAGCTTGGGGGGATTTGGGGATCCATCGCTGTTGCTTGAGGCTCAGGTGGTCTCAGTATGGGATGTGAAACACAGAGCAGTCAAGCACAACATTCCTAGAATGGACATGCTAGTGGATGGTTTGTACCAGCCAGGAGTCTAACTTCCTGTTTCCTCCTGAGCTGGGACAAACTTCCTCTGCATGTGACTAGAGGCCTGTGTGTGTGTGTGTGTGTGTGGGGGGCTAATCTGGGGAAGAAGAGCACACCATCTTCTTCTGTTCCTCTCTTCTCCATTTTGTTTTTCTCCATATGTGAGCAGAAGTGACTGCCTGTCTGCAGTCACTTAGTAACTAACTCCCTTATGGGATAGTTCCACATGTGTATATAGTTTTGTAACCTAAGTCTGCCTTCAGGGATCCAACTGTGAACTGAATGAATGTGAGTAGACTACTTTTATACAGTGGTACCTTGGTTTGCAACTGTTTTGGATTACAACCATTTTGGATTACAACCACATCAAACCCTGAAGTGTGTGTCCCTATTTTTTGGATTACAACCCATTTCTTTGGATAACAACCCATTTTTTTTTTGATGCCCCATTGGTGAAAGTTTGCCTTGGGTTACAACTTGTTTTGGTTTACAACCGGACCTCCGGAACAGATTATGGTTGTAAACCAAGGTATCACTGTATTGACTAAGACTGCCGTGTCTATTATTTTTAAGAGGGACAAGAAGGGATCTTACCAGGAATCCTATATTTAGAGGCTAAAACTAGCCTGCAATAAGCAAACTGCTGTGCATTTAAGGGGAATGTTTAAACTCTGCTAAGATATAGAACTTGCTAACGCAAATTAGGAAGGATATCATTAAACAATATATCCTCTCCTGCCTTCCTGAACACTCCCACACTTGGTGGCGTGGAATGCCTTTCATCAGCTTTGGCTGGTAGCCCAGCTACACCCCTATCTGGGCAGGGATGGCCTAACTGCTGCTGTCTATACTCTGGTAACCTCTAGGTCAGATTACTTCAATGAGTTATACAACAGGCTGCCTCTGAAGACCATTTGGAAGCTTCAGCTGGTGCAGAATTCGGCAACCAGGTTGCTCACCAGGGCAAGACGGTTTGAGCATATTGAACTGATCCTGGTCTGACTGCACTGGCTGCCGATTAGTTTCTTGACCCAATTCAAAGAGCTGGCTTTGACCTATAAAGCCCTAAATGGCTCAGGACCGCAATACCTCAAGAACTGCCTCTCCTCATATGAACCAACCCAGACTGCGATCATCATCTGAGTCCCTTCTTCATGCATATATATATACATACATATATATATATATATATGGGACTATCATAATAGAAAATGTGTATAATTAAAATCAGTGATAGGATTTCCCTGGTTCTCATTTATCATTCCCAGTTGCAAAGGTATACCTGTATATATTTTTGTGCCTTGCTCTAGATTTATTTGCTATTTCACACTCGTCTCCATGAAATCTGTTTAAATTGGTGACATTAGCCAGGAGCCCAGTTGTGTGATTGAACGTAATGATACTAACAAGACCTGCCCTGAACATTGGCTACCCTGCTAATAGCCCTGGTCTTCCCTGAATTCTTGGCACATCACGAAACTCTTGTTTTGCTTTCTTTTATTTATTCGTCGTACTTGAAGGCTCTAGGTGGTTCACGCAGTGTGTTAAGAACTTCGTGCTAAGTTTACTAATAAAACCTTCATTAAAAATAGGAATGCCAGCACTACAAAAAGGTATAAAACCACACACTCTTCCACACTGTAGACACCACTTGTGTTATTTATTGCAAGATACAGAAGAGTTGCAGTGGCCACCTTTTCCTGGGCAAACTTTTATTGGTGTAGGTGATTTGGCAGCCCTCTGGTGTTTTGTAGATGTTTCATCAGCCAGAACGCAGTGTAAACTCAAATTAAAGACTGTTCTACATGTTATACAATTGGGTGGATAGACTCCAAGTACCAGAGATCCGATTCAGGGTTCCCATGGCAGAAGGTTGCTCAAGTGATGTTCCTGCTGGAGGAAGAGTGGGTGGGTGAATTTTGCTGATTCTTCCTCCCCTCCCCAGCCCCTAGTATTCCCCTGAAAAGGTGCTTTAGATGGTGGTGGGCCTACAGAGCAGTGCAAGGGGTGGCCTGAGGCACAGAAAGTAGAGTTGGCAAAAATCACTTTTTGTTGGAAGAGTTACAGTGGGTGGAATTCAACATCAGAGAGCCAGTGTCGTGTAGTGGTTAAGAGCGGTAGTCTCGTAATCTGGGGAACTGGGTTCGTGTGTCCGCTCCTCCACATGCAGCTGCTGGGTTACCTTGGGCTAGTCACACTTCTCTGAAGTCTCTCAGCCCCACTCACCTCACAGAGTGTTTGTTGTAGGGAGGAAGGGAAAAGAGAATGTTAGCTGCTTTGAGACTCCTTCGGGTAGTGATAAAGCGGGATATCAAATCCAAACTACTACTACTACTACTACTACTCTTCTTCTTCTTCTTCTTCTTCTTCTTCTTCTTCTTCTTCTTCTTCTTCTTCTTCTTCTTCTTCTTCTTCTTCTTCTTCATGCTATTATGAAGGCTCTGTCTGCTCAAACATATCAGCTTGCCAGATTGAATGACCTCCCTCCCTCTGTGTGCTGTTATGGGGGTTCTCCCAACCCTCTGAGTCAATTGTGGGGAGTACCTGGCTGGAGGAGAGGGGAAAAGGGCCCATTGGACATGTGGAAGCCAGGGGCACCACATATGGGGGGCTCGGGGTGCCTGAGCACCCACAAAAACATTGTGGGTGCTCAGCACCCACACCACAGGGCTCCCACGTAACTTCTGAGGTCTCGCAAGGTGGCACCAGAAGTTGGGTTCAGAGGTCTCGGAAGGCCTCAGACACCATCTCTGAGGTCTCGCGAGGTCTCTGACGATGTGATATCATGACGTCACACATGCTGGGCACCCATAACTTGGGGCCCAAGTTGGCTCCCGTGGTGGAAGCCCTTGCAGAGAGTTTCCATTGATGGGGTTTATTAAGTGAATCCCACCCTCTGGATCCTACCCCTCTAGATGCAATTGGACACATGAGGCAAATAGCAGATGGTGGTGGTAGAATTCAGGTTGAGTAAATGCCACCGTGTGAAAGGGTTAAATCCCCAATAGGAGTTGACCTCCCCTCTCCCTCGCCAAGGCTGCTATTGTTGCTTTTTTTATATATATAAAGTGGTGGTTGAGTTCTGAGGAGGTCGAATTCTGGACTGTCCCACTTTACTCCCAATGGCAGAACTTCCTCCCTCCTGCCGGTAGCAAACTCGCTTTATTAAGCCTCCCTCCATTGCATTTCTCACATGCAAGGAGCTTTCGATGTGTGGGAGCGTTCAAAAACATGGCAGGTCTCACAGTATTCAGACTTTTGACTTGCTTCCACGTAGCTTGCACAAGCGTTAGAACTTGTCCGCTCCTGACTGAGCATTTGTTGTGATTTATTTGTGTGGAGGTTCAACAACAATAAGCGTTCACCCTGATTTTTTTTGTGTGTGGGGTGTGTTGACATGCCTTCCCACAAACCATCCATCTATCTCACACTTTTCCCTGTCACTTTCCTGACTGCTGTTCTCCAAAGTGTTGCGCCAGATCTGCTTCAATTGCACAAACTGCAGTTGCTGGTATGAGATCGAACCCCTCTTGAAAAATACTGGCAGCGTAGAGGTGATCTGCTATTTCCAGGAATCGCTTTCCATTACGTTTGCTTCCGTGATGAAAGATTTGCCCCAGGCCGTCTCGCACACCTCCAAATGAACCACCGGCCGGGGCGTCGTTCTGCAAACCTCACAAAGGCAGAGAATAAAACAGAAGGAGTGAAATAAGCAGACCAGGATCAGGAGACTGAAGGACTGATGTCTGGAGAAGATGGTGAGGGTTGGCCCAGATCTCTTCCTATCCTTGACTAATGGAGAAAGAGGTCTTCTTCCATGCATACCTTCAGTGTTGATATGGAATTACACCTGGATCCCAATGGATTAACAGAACTGGCTGGATGCATCACTTAATGAGGATGTTAAGACCCACTGAGGACCTATTACAGTTGAATGTCTAAGATCCATATTAAAGCCTTGCCTGCAGACTGCAAAACAACCATGCACACACATAAGGGGCAATTCCTGGCCACTTCCCTTCCATTCCATTCCAGAGCATCCAGGTATCCCTTACTACTCATCTCTCCTCCCTTAATGGGCTCTTTTCCTCACTTACTAGCCCTACTTGTGTGTTATGGAGTCCACAGTCCAGACAGCATCCATAACACTTAATGAAACAACTGACAATTTGCTACTTTTTAATGGAGTACCAAATTGCTTGTCTGAAGGAGCCCAGCTTCACATTGCCCAATGGTTGGGCATTTCCTTAAATCTTTCGCAGTCTGCTTGCTGCATCTTTTCAGCACAGGATTTAGGCTTCTTTTCTCCTTACGCTTCTTGTTTTGAAGAGGGTCGGGTGGCTGAGGTGTGTGTGTGTGAGAGAGAGAGAGGGGGGGTGGAGAAGACGCCTGTTCGATCCCCTGGAATACAAATGGGTTAATTTGTGGGGTGGATTAGACACCGGGTGCAATATAAGTTTGGTTTGCATTAGCATAATGGCGTCATAAAAATGTAGATTTGGAAGTGGGAATTATGGTTGACATGGCTAATACTGTGCTGCTGTAGCAGGAGTGGGGAACAATATTGACACTGCATTTGACCACCTAAACCATGTCACCCACAAACACATTTTTTCATTGCACATAAGAGAGAGAGAACTGGGAGGATCCGCCTTGCCTGCAAGTGTGAGCCATTTATCACAGCTGAGGAACGACACTAATAATAATAATAATGATAGTGACTTTTTGGGGGGGGGGGTTTAAAAAGACAACCCTATTGTTACAGCCTAGTTGATATTTCACATCCTAACACTGCTGCCTCGAGGTAACAGGTTGAGTTGATTACTATTTGTTTGCAATGCTGGAGGAACCTGCAATCACAGAGAACATAAAAGGATTGCAATTAGATCTATTGGCTGAGAGCTGTACTTCCGTGACCCACTGTAAAGTTCTTAGCACTATCAAAGAGATAATGCGCAGCTTCAGTGAGCACATCTGGACATAATAATATGGACTAAACTGACGCAGCCACAAAAGGCTACCTCTACCCTCTCTCTAATTGAAAGCAGAAAACAGACCAGGGTTTTATCAGAGTTTATCAACAGAAACAACACATACGTGCTCACGGGAGCATATAAACACCCACACAGAAGTCTTAACATATACATCTTTCCAGAAAACCTTTCCAAGCTTCTGCTTATGGAACATACAAGTGGCATAGTGTGGGTTGCTAGTGCCCGGGGCCATGCAGAGGAGGGAAAAGGGAGGAAAACAGTGTATGCAAGGACCTAACAGCGTCCAAGTCACCCAGGAGATGGCAGCTGCACAGATAAGACGAGTTGTTCCATTGTCTGGAGAGGTCACTTCCTGGTTCGCATGGAGAAGCTCTTTTCAATGGAGTCCAGAAATGGAAGCGCACAGCTGTATTGAGGCAGCACCAGGTGTTGAAATTTTGCACCCCAGGGCAACCGCCCCTGTGTCCCCACCGCACGCCATGCCATTGGGCTCATACACTCTTGCTCTGCTTTTAGGGATCTGTTTGGCCACTGTTGGAACACAACGCTGGGCTAGACGAGTCTTTTGCCTCACCCAACAAGGCTCTTCTCGATCACCAAGGTTTGCAAAACTCCTCACACAGCACTTTGCAAGTCCCGACAATGGGAATGTGGGAAATCCAGGTTGCCTGATGCTATCACGATGTCAGGAGACAGGCAGGTGGATGGCTCTGCACATGAGATAAAGCTCTGTCCCCCGACAGATCCCCAAGTAGCTACCAGGTAGGTTCAAGGTGCTGGTTTTGCTGAATAAAGCTCTATGCAGGTTGGGGCCAGGATACCCGAAATAATGTCTCAGTCCTGTCAATCACTGGGCTTTGTGGGTTGGGGTCTCGTGCAGACACAGTCTTCCTTTCTGTATAAGATAGGGATTGGGTCCCTAGTGTGGGGGCACCTCCACTGTGGAACTCCCTCCTGTGACATATCAGACAGACTCTGCCTCTGTTTTCTCTTCGGTGTGTGTTGAAAACCTTCCTGTTATGTACTGAGTGAATAGGATCCAAAATGCAGCAGTCTGATTGGTCCTAGAACAATGCAGCAGTATGGTTGGTCTGCAGGAGCCACCCAATCCAGCTCCAGACGGAAGTGAATCCACAACCTGATTGGCCTACAGGAGAATCCCAGAATTAGCCAATCCCATGCGGCCCATTGTGTAAATAATGTATATAAAGCAGATATTGTGGGGGAACTGCCATTCCTCCTCACCACTATGAGCTGAATAAAGAATATGAAATCCACTCTCAACTCCAAATATATTTCACTTCCTCTTCCAAGAAGGCTGTTAAGTAGAGATCTTTTGCAGCCTTCATCTTCATGGAATTATTTTTAAGGTGCTTTAATTGTTTCATCGCTTGTCTGTTCGGTGCCTTGGGCTCCTTAATAACAAACAAACAAACTGTTACAGAAATTACAGGGGTGGGGGCACATCTTTAAAGTTAAATGTTACAAATATTATGCCTGAATGTATCCTTTCAACTTGACAGCTCAGGGAAGTTACCTAGCTTTAAAGACAAGATGAAATCAACTCCTTTGCCAGTTTCCTCCATTCCAAAGCTATTTTCCCCTTGAAAAAGGACTCCAGGAAGTTCCCAGAGGTGACAATTGCTGAGCTGATTGTTGGCCAAGGAAAGCCTAATTCCATCACCAAACTTGCCAAGGGGTCCAGACGTGCAAAGGAAGTTCTATTGTACTTTGGGTGGTTGGACTTCAGAGGTGTTTGCCTATGCTAATCTTATACCTGAGTCTTACCCTGACTTGTCTGCTTATGCTAATCTTGTACCAAGGACTTGTCTGGACATGTTTGTCAAGGTTAAACTAGTGTAACCCCTGTCTACCCCTCCCCTTTTGTGACATGTCAGTGATGTAGCAATGATGTAGCAATGATTCTGTACGAACTGTATTCTGGGATATGGTGGGAAAGTTTTAAAAGTCTCAGGGTTCAAATTTCCTCTTTGAACCTATTGCACAATAAACTTTGGTCTACAGCTATTTGCTCCAGGGATGTTGTGGGGATTACCGTAAATTAGGGGGTGGGGAGAACATGGACACTGCCTTGAGCTCCTTAGAGAGAAAGGTGGGCTATAACTGCAGGAAATAAATTCTGGACTATTTATTTCATTTCATACAATTTATATACCTCTCGATTGTAGAAAAAGTGCCCTCAAAGCAGTTTACCAAAAGCATAGAACAATGACATCACCGCTAAAAATTTACAAGCGTAATTTAAAATGTACAGAAGCTTAGAACCGCAATAGAAATGAAAACTCATCCAAAATTTCCAAACGTCTGGGTTACCTTGTCTAATTAAGAATGTCTCGTGGTGGACAAGTTGATCCTGGAATTCGGGTTGAAAGCCACTGACACAAACTGACTCGACGGATTGGTCGTAATAGTGCCGCTTCCACACTCTCTGCCCCCTTCTTGTTTTGGGAGAGTGAGCACCAGCCAGAGGCTGATAATTGAAATTTCTTTTAAACAAAAAAAGAGAGCGCTTTTGTCATCAGCCAGCTGGCGATAGGAGAAAGGACCGAGCTCAAAAGATGCAATCAAAATTTGACACTGTTTTATTAAACATGTAATAATATCACCAGCCAGGATCCCTTTGGTGGCCAGCAATAACAATGCGATACAATTATTGTTATTATTCATAGCATCATTTGTGCAAAATCATCGCTGAGGACTCGGGGGCTTGCTACAGGATTTCCATAGAAAGAGCCGGCTGAGGCTGGAGCTTATAAGCTGCCATGTGCCTCAGCCAGAAGATAGAAAGGCTGCAGCTCAGAGGCAGAATCCCAGAAACATAGATTAGTAGAATTGTAGAGTTGGAAGGGACCCCGGGGGTCATCTAGTCCAGCCCCCTGCAACGCATGCGCAGAAGGTCCCATAGGGCTGGGAGAGAACCCTTTAGGGGATCCTTGGGAGCTGCTGCCAATCAATGGAAACAAAACTGAGGTGGATGGACCTATGTTTTGACTCAGTATATGGCACCCTTCCTAACTTTCAAGAGAGAATCATGAAAAGCTTTGTGAAGTGGGTGCCATGGGAGCGTGGTTAATAATAATAATAATAATAATAATAATAATAATAATGTAATTTATTTATATCCCACCCTCGCCAGCCAAAGCTGCGCTCAGAGCAGCTAACAACAACAAAAGCAACACAGCATTCTAAAACCAATTCACTCTAAAATCAATTCAAATCCAATTAGTGGCAACCATTGGGCTAGAGTTCTGTGAAGGTTGCCAAAAGAGGGGGTCAGACTGTGCCCTGGCCAAAGGCCTGGTGGAACAGCTCTGTCTTGTAGGCCCTGTGGAAAGATGTCAAGTCCCGCAGGGCCCTAGACTCTTGTGACAGAGCGTTCCACCAGATCGGGGCCACAGCCGAAAAGCCCTGGCTCTGGTTGAGGCCAGCCTAACCTCCCTGTGGCCCGGGACCTCCAAGATGTTTTTATCTGAAGACCGTAAGGTCCTCCGTGGGACATACCAGGAGAGGTGGTCCTGTAGGTACGAGGGTCCTAGGCCGTACAGGGCTTTAAAGGTTAAAACCAGCACCTTGAACCTGTTCCTGTACTCCACCGGGAGCCAGTGCAGCTGGTATAGCACCGGGTGATTGTGATCCCGCGACGAGGACCCTGTAAGGAGTCTCGCTGCTGCATTCTGCACCTGCTGGAGTTTCTGGGTCAGCCCCACATACAGTGCACGTTTCACACTTGCATAAGACCATTAGAACTGTTAACTTGTGGGTGAACATATCAGACGACACAGCGATTCTTCAAACAGCTCTTGTTTATTCAGAGGTCAGAGCAGAACTGAACTGAAGGGTTCAGTCAGCCTGCTTATATAGAGCTCCAGTACAACGTTACTGTAACAACTTTCTAAAACTATCCAATCACTGAAAGTCACTTTAGATCCTTAATTTGCATAACTATCTACAGTATCCCCCTGCTGGCCCAGGGTGAGAACTTCAGTACATAACAAGAACATCTTGGCTGTGGCTATGGGACCTGATCCCTGCCTTTCATGTTTTCCATATTTCCATAAAACTCAGCTCTTACCATAGTTCTTGTTACATTGCAAGTGTTATTAAAACCCTGCCAACGTTTTTAATTGTTTCCAGTGTTCTTCTAAGTAACTTATAAATTTCCCCCATTCTTTATTAAATTTATTATCTTCTTGGTTTCTGATCTTCCTGGTCATTTTCGCCATTTCGGCATAGTCCATCATCTTTATTAACCATTCTTCTCTGGTAGGGACTTTGTCTTCCTTTCATTTCTGGGCCAGAAGTATCCACACAGAAAACCGGCAAAAATGTATAGAACAGAACAAAAGAATTGTTGGAGGCGTAAAGAAGGGGAACATTTTATCATGTGTGGTGGGAGTGCAAGATTATTTTAAAAATTTGGGAAATGATATACAGTGAATTTTTAAAAAATGTTTAAAATAACATTTGTCAAAAAACCAGAAGCTTTTTTCTTAGGAATTTTAGGACAAGAGTTGTCAAAAGAAAAAAAGGACATTATTCATGTATGCTACAACAGCGGCAAGAATCTTAATAGCTCAAAATTGGAAGACGAGAGAAGTACCATCAAAAGCACAATGGCAAGAAAAGTTGATGAACTACACAGAGTTAGCAAAGTCAGTGGACAAACTGCGTGAAAAGGACAATAGTGACTTTGAAAAAGAATGGGAACCCTTTACAATGTATTTGCAGAAACAACAGAAAGAAATGGTCTTGCTGGAAGGATTTAAATAAACATTTACAATTTTATTTACAGAGAACAAGAAGTATAACAATGTGATAACATAATATTGTATATTGTATATTTCAGAATGTATCATCTAAACCAGAAATGGTAGTTGAGGGAAGTCTACAGGGAGGGGGGAAATTGGAAAATGTATGTTTAACAATAATATTGGATATTTGTTTTGAGAAAAGAAAATTAACAATTTTTTTAAAAGAAGTATCTGTGCAGCTGTCGTTGCATACACAAACAGTCTTTTCTGCTCCTTTGGTATTTCTGGACCTAAAATTCCTAATAAAAACTCTTCTGGTTTTTCCCACAAAAGTTATTTTAAACATTTTTTTCAACTCATTATAAATCATTTCCCAATATGCTTTTGTTATCTTGCACGTCCACCATATATGGTAGAATGGTAGAATCTTGGCTTCCACAGCTGCCACCAGCTCTGAACCCCCTTTGGCAGGGCTGACAGCAACAGATACTTTCTGTGCTTATGATAATATTTTATTCTCTCGTTGATTATGCTGTTGTAACGTGCATTCTATATTTGACCTTTTTTCAGTAACGCTTTCTTTCAAAACGTTTAAGATTTTGCGTGTGTTAACTTTGTTTTGTTAAATGCGCATTCTGTAGCTGACCTTCTTTGTAGTGTTTTATTTTGAAGCTTTAAGATTACCATTTTATTTCCCTGTTAATGATGTTGCTTTGAACGTTTACATTAGATCTGACTTTCTTCAGTAATGTTTTACTCCAGATTGTTTTATTTGATGTTTTCCTGTGTTGTGAACTGCTTTGAGATTTCTTCTTAAAAATACCAGGTAGTAGAGAAATGAAATGGAAAAATAAATAAATTAGGAGAATAGGACACGCTGACCACCATACAGACCTAAGTAGGTACAACATATTGGGTGTGACAGTTGTTGTTGTTGTTGTTGTTGTTGTTTAGTCGTTTAGTCATGTCCAACTCTTCATGACCCCATGGACCAGAGCACACCAGGCACTCCTGTCTTCCACTGCCTCCCGCAGTTGGGTCAAACTCATGCTGGTAGCTTCGAGAACACTGTCCAACCATCTCGTCCTCTGTTGTCCCCTTCTCCTTGTGCCTTCCATCTTTCCCAACATCAGGGTCTTTTCCAGGGAGCCTTCTCTTCTCATGAGGTGGCCAAAGTCTTGGAGCCTCAGCTTCACAATCTGTCCTTCCAGTGAGCACTCAGGGCTGATTTCCTTCAGAATGGAGAGGTTTGATCTTCTTGCAGTCCATGGGACTCTCAAGAGTCTCCTCCAGCACCATAATTCAAAAGCATCAATTCTTCGGTGATCAGCCTTCTTTATGGTCCAGCTCTCACTTCCATACATCACTACTGGGAAAACCATAGCTTTAACAATACAGACCTTTGCCAGTAATGCTTCTGAATATCACTTGCTGGAAACCATAGGAGGTGAGCGTGTTCTTGCGTTCGAATCCTGCTTGCTCTATTCTCACAGGCGTCTGGGTGGTGCTGTGAGAACAGGGTGATGGACTAGATAGGCCATTGGCCTGATCCAGCAGGACTCTTCTTTTGTTATTATGTCATAAAGACGACCCGACTGACCGTGAGGCAGGCTGAGGTAGCTGCCTCAGGCAGCAGAACCTCAAGAGATGGCAGCTGGCCATCAACTCTGCTATCTCTGCTGTAGGTAGAGAAGCAGCAGCAGTGGCAGTTCCCATGAGATCTTTCTCGCTCTGTGAGATCTCATTAAATCTCACAAGATCTCACCGGAACATGTCACTATTGCATGACCACTCTATTCTGCCTTAGTCAGACCACACTTGGAATACGGTGTCTAATTCTGGGCACCACAATTTAAGAAGGATGTTGACAAGCTGGAACGGGTGCAGATGAGAGTAACCAAGACGATCAAGGGTCTGGAAACCAAGCCTGATGAGGAGCGGTCAAAGGAGCTAGGTATGTTTAGCCTGGAAAAGGGGAGACAGAGGAGATGTGATAGCCATCTTCATATATCTCAAGCTCTCACATGGAAGAGGTGTTAGAATTCCTGATCCATGATTGCAG